CCTGTGGTCCCAGCTACTCTGGGAGGCTGAGGCAGGAGGCTCGCTTGAGCCCAGGAGTTCGAGGTTATAGTGAGCTATAATGACACCACTATTGCACTCCAGCCTGGGCAACAGAGGGGGGCCCTGTTTCTAAAAAATAAATAAATAAAATGGTCATCGTCAAAGAGACACTTTACAGGATACTTTTTAAAGGTGGCAAGACAGATTTTTATTCAGAGAACTGCAGTAGGGAAGAGAGACTGCAGTACCAACTGAGCTCAACTCTAAGACAAAGGAGACTGAGAGTTTTAAAGGTAGAAAGAGAGGAAACAAATGGGGATATGGGGAAGTGAAAAAGCAGGGGAAGAAAGAAGGGACTAGGGGAATTATGTGTAAATGAGAAGTTACAGATGGGGGTAAGTGGAGAATTACTGAAAATGGTTTGGCCAGTTAGGCTGGTACAGTATATATTTTGTGGTTTGGCAGCATTGCATTTTCTTGAGCAGAGATTTTCTTGAGACAGGAGGTCTCGGGGGGTCACCTTTAGGGACACGACCTGTGATAAATGGAAACCAGGCTAAAGGTCAAGTATCTCAACACAGCGTTTGGGCAAGTCCTTCGTGCAGCATGGAAGTTCACAGTTCCCATCGTCTTGGGAGAAGTGACTTGGGTAATTGTTGCTGTTCCCATGTCAAGTCCACAAATTTTCAAGTTTAAGTAGATGAGGCATATCGTTCACTCTGATTTTCCTTTTGTAAAAAAGGAAAAATGAATTTTTAAGAAAAATCAAGGGTATAATGACTTTTTTTCCAGGCACCATATCTGGAAATCAAGAAGCAGATGGATAAACAGGACCCCCTTGCTCATCCCCTACTGCAATGGTATAAAATTTTAGTTTTCCTCTTAATGAAAACAGCATCTTTTTTTATTGCTTGCTTTAAGAAAGGAAAAAAAAAAGCCTATTTTACAACCCCTGCAATGCTACAGTTCTACAAGCCTATGAGACCTGGTGATTTTACAATCCAAGAGTACTTAGTGACTCTCACTTTAATTAAAATTTGTACATCACGAGGGGAAGAAAATGCTGTCATATGCACTACCAGGATATACAATGCATTTGACAGCAGTTTGCCTATAGTTGTAAAAGATGTGATTGACTAGACTAAGTAAGTGTTAAAGGCATTTTGGTTCACTTCATTTTCTAGTTCAATGAGGACTAAGTGATAGAACTCACTATCTCAACCCTTATTACTGAAAATCTTTCTAATCTAAAGTATGTGTTTTGTATATTTTGCTTTGTCCTTAACAAGGACAGTATAAATTTGATTAACTCTTTGTTTGATCACTACAGAAGATGCACTGTTTTAGAATGAGCCTGGTAAGAGACATAGCATTAGCCCAGCATGGATTCTAGAAGTAGAGCTAGACTACGAACAGGGGAAGTAGCTTGAAAACTCACCTTGCCACGATGCGCACTTCAAAGAATTTGCCCTCTTGTTTTCTTACTTGCAAAATAAAGAGAATAGTATCTATTCAGCATGCCTTATAAGGCTTTTATGTACATATCTCTTTGATATCACTTTGAAAAGCACATAGACTATGGGATTTGCTATACAGTGATACAAATGTAGGGGTTGTAGGAGATTTGTCTGGATGAGAACTTATTCCATGCTACAACCAGGAAGGTTTAAAAGTATGTAAAGGTGAGCAGAGGAAAAAGAATCTGTCTTCGATCCTTACCTTCATCGAAAGGTTATAATGCGCATTTAATTTAGTCTACCAAGACTGTGACAAAAATTAGGCATAGAAGCCTTCCCTCTCTGTATCTATTATGATGTTATTAAAATTCTGACACATTAAATAAAATAACACATAATTTCCATTTTAACCTTTTAAATTTTCTCATTGTCATATTCAAATAGAAGATAAAAATCTCAACTATCTAATCACTTTCTTTTTTTCCTTGAAGTCAGTCTTACGGTTAACTTTTAATTATTTGTGATTATTTCCTCCAGCTTGTTAGTCACTCTACTTTCAGGGAAAAGAAAATCTACCAAAATGTTTTATGCTTTTCCCTACTTACTATTTTATATACTGAAGAGCATAAAACAATCCCTGCTTTCATGTACTTGAATTTAATTTTTTTAACTACATTGTGTAAATATGTTGAATTTTGTATACAAATTATTACATGTATCAGCTCAAAGAAATCATCAAATATTTAAAGAAAAAGAATGTCCATAAGAGTTTATCTTAATTTAGGCAATGTCAAGAGGAGGAAAAAAAAGCAAATGCATGAATCAGCTGCTAATGTTTGTATTCAGATTATCATTATTTGAAAGTATATCCAGAAATGTTCATTTAGCTTATATTCGAGGTTGTGCTTATTAAAAACTATGTCTTTTTAGGTTTTAGGGAATTACTGCCCAGTGTATTTTCTCAGATTAAAATAC